GCTTGGAATAAAGTCGGAGGTCCTACAAAATAAACAGAGGACAATTAGTTATTTTAAAGAGTGTTGCCCCACAACGATTATTTTCTTTCTCTTCATGCTCATTTGGTAAGATGGTTCTCTGTGACTGTGTAATTATGGATGGATGGCATTGACTGTGTCCCTTGTATTAACACTTAATGTGGTGCATTTGTGACATTTGTCTATTTCCTGTACTGGCCATGGACTTGGAGGACTCTTTTCCCTTTATGTATGTCTTCCTAGTTTTTGACAGATATTTATCTACAAGAAGAAAATACAATATAACATTCATTGTTTTATTATGGGTAATAGTGAAGCTGCAAGTGGAGATAAGGGGTAAATAATTTGCATATATTTGGAAAAAAATTCTAGGTGTTTTTTTTGTGTGTGTGTGTGTGAGTTCTTTTATATGTCTATTCTGATACAAACATTATTTTAATGAAATGATTCTGTCTCCTAAATGATTTGGCAGTTATTTGCTTGGAATAAAGTCGGAGGTCCTACAAAATAAACAGAGGACAATTAGTTATTTTAAAGAGTGTTGCCCCACAATGATTATTTTCTTTCTCTTCATGCTCATTTGGTAAGATGGTTCTCTGTGACTGTGTAATTATGGATGGATGGCATTGAAATGCTTGAACAGTAATTTGTAGGAAATATAATTATGAGTAGAAGTTATTAGTGGGAGTAAATGAATAGTTTGTTTGGTTAATAGGTCAATGTTGAAAGCCCAAAGTGGTTAAACAGTGTATTAAATTATAAGTTAGGATCATAACTCTTTTTCATTTAAGTATATTCATAAACTATTGAGCTTTTAAAGCTGCATTTTTATGTTTTTTGATTTGCGGTAGGGAAAGGAAGGCAGCTGCCCAACCTGGGTTTCTTAAGAGAGCTGTGAGTTGAAATGACTCATGTTCAAAATGTGTGCAATGCCTTCTTCATCAGAGAAGCAGTCGTTCCACCTTGTGTGGCATTTAAATAATATTTATGAAGTAAGGAATATAATGTTTTGAGAATCAAATTTGATTGGATACAGTTAATTTGTAGATATTTCCAGAGGTCAGGAATTCCATTATGTGTCCAGTTCTTTGGTCCTGGATCCAGAAGACCTGGTTTCAGAACTTGCTGCTGACATCTCATTGCTGTGTAATCATGTCCTTGAAGTATCTCAACTTTCTAGGCTGTATGATCTGTTAAAAGAAAACCAACAACAGAAACAATTCTTACTTTAGAGTAAAACTACTTAGCATAGAACTTATTCTAAGTGCTTAATAATGGTTTTTGTAGTAATTTTTACATATTAGATATTATATACTCATTGAGGTATATATCTGATGGAGATTTGCAGGTAAATGTCCAGAAGGCAATATTCAAAATAGTTGAATCCTAATTGTGAGCCCAGGACCATGCTGAAATTCTGACACATATAAAAGAAACATAAGGCAGTATCCTGCATCCAAGGTGCTGACTGTCCTCATAAGGGGATAAGACACATGCATTGTAATAATTACAGACTAATTTATTATTGAAATATATGGTACTGACTGTGGGTTATATAACTGAAATCTCACCAGGCCTCTCCGAACCTGCTCAACCTGGGATATTTCAGTAGTGATCATAAACATTTTACTGCCTGCCTCCCCCAGCTCTCACAGAACCTCCAGCCTTTTCCAGCATTCCTGCCTGCTTGCTGTAGATATTCTCATGACGAATTTCATGAGTTCATCAACTAGCCCGTCTCATCTTTCATGCACTATTCCTCCTATTTTGGTTTTCTTGGTCCTTGTCTTCCATTTAGGGAGGTGCTGGGGGCTGCCTCATCCCAGCCCCTGCTGCCGATACCTGCCATGAGAGTCCTGAACACGTGGGTGCCAAGGCGCAGGCTTTCATTGCTGCCCAGGTGGTCTTACCCTGAGGTGTAGCAGTGTGCTGTGTCCCACGATGAAGCACGGTGACTTCCCCTTTTGCCACTCAGGGTCCTACCTAATCACTTGGACACCAAAACTATGGAGTGCTGGTTTCTCCATAACTCAGTCATGATTTTCCTCATTCGGTACATATTTATTAAACACCTGTTATATGCTAGACACTGTGGTAAGCATTGGTGCTATATGGTGAGCAAATAGAGGCATAACTCCTCCTGTCCTGTTTAATAGGGGAGACAAATAGAGAAGTGCACTAATAGAGGCCAAATGGCAAGGAGAGGAACATGGTGATGGGAGGGTTTGACCCCGTTAGGGCAGTCTCAGAGGCTTTTCTGAGGAATCAAGTTTAACATCATTCTGAAGAAAGAGTTGATGAAAATCCCAACAGAGGAGCATCAGGTGCAAAATCCATCTGGAGAGTTCCTTCAGCTCCTTTCTTCAGGTTCAGTGGTCTGTTTGGTCAGGAGCGAAAATCTGTATCTGAGGCAGATCCCATGCTGTCTCTCCTCTTTTTCTCTCACCTGCTCCTCGTGTATGTTTCTCCCGTGCTAATAACACAACTCGCACAAATGGCCCATCAACTAGCCAGATATGCTCAGGCATGCCTAAATCTCAGATGCACACAGGCCTTTTGCATAAGGAAGACCCACAGCACTGTAATGTCTATGGGAGGAGGTGGACATAAGCATGGGCTGAAATGCTGCCTGAAATTCAGTGGGAGAGGTGGGGCTTGATTTGTGTTTTGGAAGAATAGGCGACATGAAGAAGGCTGGGCACACAGGTGGAAGAGACAGAATGGGCAAAGGGATAGAGATGGAAGTAATCCTGTCAAATGACAGGAGGTAATGAGACTGGGCTTCCTGGAATGGAGATTTAATTAAGGAGTCAGAGACCATAAAGTAGAGTAAAATTATGGAGAATCTTAAAAGTCAGGAGGAGAATTTGGTGCTTTGTTCCTGAGTATTGTAGGCAGATGCTGTAGGTTAAGTGAAAAAGAAGGGATGTAATTAAAATATCTTAGCAAAGCTTAAAAAATAATGCAGAATAGCCAGAAGAATAAAAGCTAGATGCAGAGAATCTAGCTCAGCTGATTATCATAATTTTGACATTCTCAAATTTGAGATGATGATAATAGCTATCTCCTACATAGCTAGAAATACAACTGGCAACCATGAAGCATGCAGGCTTGATGTTCTCATCATATTTTTTACGAGTGTGAGTAAATTCTGAAATAATTTTACTGTGTTATAGAGGCTCTGTCAACATTTGAAAGGACATAAATTTATGTTAATGATGAAAAATGCACTTCAAAGATTCTATGATTTTTTTATTTATTTGATTAAGAATGATTAGTTGAGAAATATTTTTGTTGTCCCTTCTTTTGGTTCTTCCATGAATAGCTTGCATGTTGGTAGGTGCATAGAAGGTGTTTGCTGCATATTGAATATTGTGAACAATTGATCACAGATTTTAATAGCATTTTGCCTTTGATAAACACTTTCTTTGCTCCTTAGAGATTTTTCTTTGCAAACATTGAAGAACCAATCATAGAAATTCACATATATGTGCATATACATATAAATAAACTTTATTTAATTTTGTTGTTCCCAAAGGTTAAAATAAACAAGGAACAAAATTAAAATTATTTTCTTTTGGGATGATTTATGTCTTAATTTTTACCTGCCCTATAATTAGACATTTTGAACTCTAAATGTTTTTTAAGATAAAATTATTGCCCAAGTAAACTTCAGAAATTACATCATTAACCCAGAGACCTTTTAAAGCCTAAAACAACATTATTGGTGCAAGTGCCCATACATACACAGACAAATAAATAAAGAGGAAAATCTAAAATGATTTGAAAATGATTTATTGTTGGCCACCCCTGTAGTTAGAGATTCAAGTATTATTATATTACTGTAGTGCAATAGGGGAGGACAGGAAGTTGCTGTGGGCTAAAGGTAAATTATGATCTATTGCAAAGGAGGAAGGAAATGTACTGAGGAAAGAAGAAGGAGTTGGGAGTTAGCCATGTATTTTCTGAAGTATTGCTTCAGATAATGTCTTGAAAAAATTTTTTTGCCGTGACCCTTGCTGGAAAAGGCCAGAGTAAACTGGGAGACAGACTACCTTCTTGAATCTTTGACAGTGAAGGAGTAGCCTACTGGCATCAGAGGATCAGATGGATGCTGTGGACTCCAACAGAAACCAAGGTACCTAGAGACACAAGCTACCCTTCAAATTTGCATAGCAGTCCTCTGTGGAACCCACCCAATTTTAGAGTTTGAAAAGATCATTTAATACAACATGGTTCAGGACAATCTGAGATAATTTTGACTTTGTACTCTACTAACACTATTTGTAAAGTGAGCTGAAGTCTTCCGGTTAGAAATTCAGTATGAATAGCTTTCTGTTTTTATTTGGAATAAGAAATAGGTGGTAAAATTACATACTCAAAGCACAGAGTATTGAGGGTCTATTATGTGATAAGGTCCAGACCACATGTTTCATGAATATTATGTTATTTAATCCTCCTAAAACCCTTTGGGGGAAGACCTTGCTACTTCTGCGTTATAACTGAGGAAACTGAAGTCCACTGTTGAGTTTATTACCCAAAGGAACATGGTTAGAATATGGCAATACTGTGATTCAGTTGTAAGTCTGACTCCAATTCCTGTGTTTTTTGTAATGCCATTCTCAATCCTGGATTAATTTTATTGCTGCCATGTGACAGATTATAAAACAACAACAACAACGAAAAAGTGAAGGCATCGGTGCTTATCGAGCATGAAACTTACTTTCCCAGATTATTTGTTCACAGGATTCTTTGGCTGAGTAATACCACGTTCTCAATGCTGGATTACTTTTATTGCTGCCATGTGACAGATTAAACAACAACAACAACAACAACAATGAAAAAGTGAAGGCATTGGTGCTTATTGAGCCTGAAATTTACTTTCCCAGGTTATTTGTTCACAGGATTCTTTGGCTGAGTAATACCACATTTGTATTAACTGTTTGAATGTCTGAAGGCACATTTTCCTCCCACTGCTTTAGGTTCACTACCAGAAGTAATTGTCACTCATCTTCGAGCAGCTGCCTCTGCCCGTGACACAGTGTTGGCTCTAGAAGATGCTGTGGACTGGCACTCTGGGGATGCAGTTGTCATCGTCAGTGGAATGGGTGTTGAAGGTGCCAGACCCATGGAGGAGATTGTCGTTGTGGAAACTGTGCACAATGCAGACCTGTATCTGAGATCACCCTTAAGGTACTGAGTGACAGCTTGGGTCCATTTAGATGGAAGAAGATGAGGTCTTAACTGTGCTGGTGTCTGTACATTTTTTTTGTCTTTCAATGATGTCTTTTTAATTAAATAATGTTAGGTGTTTTGACAAGAAAAATTATAAAGCATGTGCTGTTTTTGAAGATTTATATTTCTTAAATAAGTTTTTCTTGTAAAACTCTAGAACTCCCATGTTAGGTGGTCAGAGCAATAGTCATCATAGTTTCCTAATTTTCACTTACTTGTGCCAATAGTTCACTCTTTTGTATTTGAGTTTCAAAAGAAGTAGACCCCCCACATAGGGTATTATGTGAATCTAGTAGCTTACTATTCCTGATAAGATTCAGAGTGGTGTCTACAGATGTGTCTTTTTCTTTCTTTTTTTGAAAGATATTCTCACAACTTCACAGAGAATTGGGTAGCTGGAGAGCACCATATTATAGACCCCCCACATAGGGTATTATGTGAATTCTAGTAGCTTACTGTTCCTGATAAGATTCAGAGTGGTATCTACAGATGTGTCTTTTTCTTTCTTTCTTTTTTTGAAAGATATTCTCACGACTTCACAGAGAATTGGGTAGCTGGAGAGCACCATATTCTAAAGGCCACAGTGGCCCTGCTCAGCAGGAGGATTATCATACGAGGAAATCTCACCAGTGAGAGGACAAAGTTCCTTGCTTCATGCCAGGAGGCTAACACTTCAGAAGGTAGAGAAGTATTTTGTTGGGAGGTCCAACGAGTGAAAAAGAATGTTCTTACTGTCGAATGATATGTGGCATTGTTGACTTCTTTCAAAATAGGATAAACCCTTAACCTTTGCATGTGCATAATATTCTATAGTTTTCAAAATTCTCTTGATAAATTGATTTCTTGCCCTCGACAACCTCATGAAAGAGACAGACAACATTATTGACTTGAGTAATGAACTATTTCTTTTGGAAAATAAACCCTTAACCTTTGCATGTGCATAATATTCTAGAGTTTTCAAAATGCTCTTGATAAATTGATTTCTTGCCCTCAACAACCTCGTGAAAGAGACAGACATTATTGACTTGAGTAATGAACTATTTCTTTTGGAAAGAAAAATGTTAAATAATTAAATCTGGAGAGTTGAATTAAATTTTGAGGGTTGAGGTTATATTGTAGTCTTAACTCTGATTCCAAGCACTTTCTAAAATTCTCAGGAAAACTGCTCAATGCCCAAGTCAGGAATGCAGGCAGCACATTCTTACTGATTAGGCTTGTTGGCCTCTTCCCTCCCCTCCACCTCCACTTTTGGAGTTTGTTTTCTGAGTGAACTACCCACATACTTTAAGTAAGTGGTTAAAAAGTCAATTTATCTTCCAGAAGAATAACAGGCACTGGATCACACTGATGTGCCTATTAAACATCTATTTCAGGGATGGCTAGTTTAGTAGGTTATGTTTTGGTTTCTCAGGCTGTAGATTACGAGGCTTTCACATGTTGTGAAGATATCATTTGTCAAATTTGGTCCAGGACGGTGTGGGTGTCAAGGATGACTCCCAGGCATGCATCCTGGATGGATGATGAGGCTATTTATTGAGTTGGGAAGAGGAACAGATTTTGGGGTGGGAGGGTGGAAGTCATGAGTTTCATTTTGTTCATGTCGAGACTGAGATGCCAGGCCAGCATCAGAGTTGAGATATCTGGTAGTGTCCGGGGCCTGGAAGAAATGTCAGATGGAGTTAAAAATTTGAGTCACATCTACATATAGACACAGGTGGCTATAACGTTAGGATGTGGTCAGGAGGGAGGGACATAGACCCTACCTCCCCACCACCTCAGTCTTTAGCTCACAAATGTGTCATTCCGAAAAACGTTTGGATGCAGTGGGTTAGAATCCATTGACAGCCAACTTTAATAATTCTGCTGAATTGAGATCTGAATTCTTTTCAAACACGGTAGGGTTTCTCATGCAGGTATTTTCAGATCAAATTGTGCAAAACATTGCATTTGATCATCCTGCAAGTGAGACCATGCATCTGGGTTTAGGTCATGATAAAGCTGTTAGCTTCGAATGGGAAAAAAAATCCCTGATTTCAGCACAACTTTTTAACATTACTACAAAATTCTCAAAGTAAAGCAGAATTCATAGCTTCACTAAAAACATATGTCACTCACCTCTTCTTTCTGTGGGACTGACTTGTAGGAATGAGGTAGCTAAACACAATAATATGAATCCTGACAACTTAAATGTTTTAGGGACCACTAACATTGTCAAAATTGAGATAAATCGCCTTAACCGGTTTGGCTCAGTGGATAGAGCGTCGGCCTGTGGACTCAAGGGTCCCAGGTTCGATTCCGGTCAAGGGCATGTACCTTGGTTGTGGTGTTCAGGAGGCAGCTGACAGATGTTTCTCATCGATGTTTCTAATTCTCTACCCTCTCCCTTCCTCTCTGTAAAAAAATCAATAAAATATATTAAAAAAATGTTATAAATTATAAGCATATAAAACAGCTCTTCATTCACCTCTTATATATTTATTCTCTGGGTGCTAATGAGTGACAGGTTATAAATTATAAGCATAAAAAACAGCTCTTCATTCACCACTTATATATTTATTCTCTGGGTGCTAATGAGTGACAGGGCTTTGTAATTTACTATAGATTATTTACTGTGGATTGGTACATCATTTTGTATTAGTAGCACTTCTGCTTTGGTTTGTTAACATGGACAATAAAGAATCAATTCAGGAGATGGACTTTTAGTTCACACCACCACATGCCATGTGTCAACAGAAAGAGTCCTGGATCCTGAGGTGACCACACTTTGTAGCAATGGTATCTGTGTGTACTACATCCATGCAATTTGCTGTCTTCTCTGGGAAGGAGGTATTGGTGCAGGGGCTGGAGCCCTTGGCTATTTCTTCAGTGGCATTAGTGTTGTCACCAAACTAAAAAGCAGCAAAGTAAATGGGAAGCCCATTAGACAGTTTAAGACTAAAAAGAGCCACAATTACATTCAGTATTTACATCTTGTTCCCTACAGTTATAAACCACGAGAAGGTCATTTTATTACACACTTCCTCCAGCTGGTCTTTTGGGTTGAAATAAACACCTATTTTGGTTGAATTTGTGGGCCACAGTCAGCCTCTTTGTGACAGTAATTAAGGTAATTGATTTGGGGTTGGGAGCTTCTGGAATAATAGAGTGAAGGCAACATCGTGTCCTAGTTATTGGATGTTTTAATTAATAATTAATAATTAAAAAAGGAGAATCAAAGTAAAAGGAAAATAAGGTTATTAAATGAAATAGGCAATAATGCTTTGTCTTTCAAACTGGGAGATAGGCCTATATGTGTCACACTGCATTCTGTATTTCAGGTAATTTGCAGCACTGTTTGTATTCCAAGAGTGAGAAGATGCTGGGATCCAGGGACCTGGGGGCCAGAATCATCATTCAGTCCTTCCCAGAGGAGCCCAGCCGGGTACAATTGCAGGGAGTGCAGTTCCGGAACTTGGGGCAAGCCTTCCATAAGCATCTGAGCTCTCTGACTCTGGTGGGAGCTATGAGAGGTAAGGGGGCCAGGTCTATGACTTCTCATTTTCATTTCTTATCCCATGTTCAAGGCACTACATGCCAAGGGTAATGATAGGTGATATGTGAATGTGGGGGGTCAGAGATGGATAATTATACTCTAGATCTATGTTTCTCAAACTTTAGTATGCCTAACAAAAATTCCTTGAGGAGCTTATTAAAATTTAGCATTATGGAGCCTATCAAGACAAATTCTGGTCTGAGGTGGCCCTGGGAATCTGAATTTTTCATAATGATTCTGGAACAAGTGTTCCAAGGAATATACTTTGAGAAACATGACTATAGGTACAACAGATGTGGAGTGAACTGCATGATCCACGTTGTAAACCTGCAACTACAGGCATATTGACATTGAATAGTGTAAATCATCAACACTGTGGCAGTTCAGCACGGCAGGGAGCAATTCCCTGTGAAGTTGTACTAACTCAGAGGAATCTTCTTCCTAGAAAAATAGGGGAGAATGGGCTGAGAACAGGTGCTTTTCCTGGGAACGTAGAGCAGACAGAGTGTGCAGATCTTGGCCAGAGCTGAAGAGATAGAAAGGGAGCAGGAAAAATCAAATGAAGGTGGGAATCACTAAGTGAAAAACAAGATTAGAATCAGAAAAGAAGAATATTGTCACATGTACTGATGAAGGTTCTGAAATCAAAATTGGAGCATCCAGGGCAAAAGCCCAGTGCCAGAAGCTGACATGCAGAGTCAGAGAATTAGAGTACAGATGCTAAGTAATGAGGACAGAAGCTTCATTTCTGAGCTATCTTCCCTACCCCTCAGCACCTCCAAGACCCAACATTCAAGCTTTGCCTTCCTTAGAAAGGGAGGTGCTCTAGGGGTGGTGCCTGACAAAGAACATTAGGATATATTGAGGGATTCAGGTGGGCCTTAAAAAATACTAGGATTAAAAAAAAATGCTAGGATTTCAACAGACAATGACAGAGTAATCTTTAAAGTCATTGAAGGCAGAATCCTGGCTAACCAATAGCAGCATTTATTTTCTAATTTCAAATCAACTTCGATGCTAAGAATGTCTGTTTATTCTAATGTTCTAATTTATTCTAAATTTTCTCTTCTACCTTATTTATTTATTTTTGTCATTCACTTACGGGTATGATTCCTAACATGGCTATTTCCCTAGTACATCTGAACGAATGATCAGTATCTTTGTGCCCTTCGCTCTCTCTTTTTTTTGGTCTCCTGGTGCTTATAAGGATGCAGAATATTTGATGTGGGGGCCAGCTCCAATATAAACAAGGATAGCAGTCACATATGTGTTATAAATTGCACATAATTAAAACCCCCGTTGCTAAAAAATGTAGTTAATCTGCCTTCTCTAACCTCTGCTTCAGAGTAGCTGCACATGTATTTATTTATTTATTTATAAAATATATTTTATTGATTTTTTAGAGAGAGGAAGGGAGAAGGATAGAGAGTTAGA